CTATAAGGTGTAAAGCAGGAGTTTATTTCATTCCCTCGTTTTAATTATTAAGGTTCTTAAATAGTTTTGCTTATGCATGTTAATATTCTTCTGCAAGTTACAGATGCTTACTTTAAGTTTATAATCTTCATTTTTTGATGTTTGAAATAAAAAGTAAACAATAAAAAAACCTTAACACAAATACTTTCCACCCAAATTCAAGTCCAGCAAAGTTTTTTCATTATCTCACCACATCACACTGAACCCCAGCCTAATTTTGCTGTCCTGACTGCTCAGTAAGGTTCTGAAATGAACCAAAGAGCAGTAGGGCCCTGGATCAGAATAGATACCTTCCATAAAAGCATATCTACATCCAGAATTATTCCCACATCTGCAAAGAGAGCCAGGCAGCAAAGATTTGTACTAACATGGTCTCTCACCAGCACTGTGGAAACTCTAACTCAGGGGTGGGCAAAATGCATCCCACGGACCAGATGTGGCCCAACAGGCCATTCTATCTGGCCCGCAGGGTCCCTAAAAAATTTAGAAAATTAATATTTATCTGCCCCTGGCTGCCTGTCATGTGGCCCTCAATGGCTTGCCAAAACTCAGTAAGCAGCCCTCTGCCCAAATAATTGCCTGCCCCTGCTCTAACCCATCCTCCAAGGGTTAGGTGGGATGTACTTGCTTGATAACTAAAGTATTATTGCAAGTAATAAGAAATATCCCTAGAACACCTAAGTCAAGGCATAACAGGGCAGCTCCACTCCCTGTGCAGTGGCAGTGCACAGAACAGCACTTGCTGCTGCACTGCCGGTGACAGCTGCAAAGCCAGTCATCAGCTACAGCTATTTTTATGCCCTCCCCAGCAAAGGCTGCAAACCCCAGTTGCCCCTTCTTAGTCACATTACTGCTTCTAAGACTCTCTCAAGGTTGCTCAGGACTTTTTTCGAACTTGCACTGCAAGGACAACAATTTTATAATCATCAGTTTTGAGAATTACACTGCAAACAGAACTAGTAAGAATACATGAAAAGATCACCATCCTGATATGGGTAAGAAAACAGGAACCTCCTAAATTAAACTCACCACTTAAGCTAATGGTCCTTGAATCATCTGCGAGACACAAGATAAATATTTTTTTAGACACTCTTTAACCCTTCTGTTTATTATTTCTATTTATTAATTTCCAGTCTTCCTTTTTCAGGTTTTTTCTGTGCCTCTTTTCCCCTTTCATGTTATATTTTGAGTACCTTATGCCCAAACAGAAGTCACCATTCTTGCCCCAAAGACCTTGCAAACTGGCTAAAATACATCATAAACACAAGCTTGAGGAGGTACAGAAATCTCACAGAACTTTGACATAAGGTTTCAGCCAGTCAAAGCTGAGACAGATAATTATAGCAGCTGTTTCAATAGAATGGAAAAGATGAGATGAAAGCCAGATGTGGAGGATGAAAAACAGGCAAAAGATTTTTATTATTTACATTGTTTTTCTACCACTAGTTTTGGCTGCCTGGTTACTCACAGACTGGAATTTTTCAATATGAATTTTTGAATGCAAACAAACATAAATCAGCAACAGATTTCAAAAATTGAAAATATCCATCTTTGACATTTTGGCAAATGAATTTCTAGTAGCACTAGATGCTTCCCACACACAAAGGCAGGCAGTGTCTTAAAATGTGAATGTATTTTTGGTGCACTTCAGTGTGCATCTTATTGATCATGCTGTGGTCATGCACTAGTCTAGTACATCCTACGATCCCTGTTGTTTCTAAGCTCCAATCATTCAAATGTTTATATGACGTCTTAACTTCCTTTATGCAAATAATCCTATTGAAGACAATGGAACTATTTATGAGATTAAAATTAAGCATGTGCATGATGAAAGCCTTGAAGTCCACAGTAATTTGCTTTTGGTAACAGCTGTTTGCAATATCTAGGCCTATTTCCTTTCACTACAGCTGGTGAATGCAATTGCCAGAATTGGAAAAATGCATGAGTCAATGAGCATAATTTGTATAAATTCCTATGGAATAAACCTGAATAAAATATTATTCTCTTAATATATAAAGCAATGTTTAAAACCTTCGCCTACGTGAGATTACTTTCCAAAGCAGAAAGATAACTATCTAGATGCTAGGCTGTTGCCATGGAAACAGGGATGAACATATTTTCCTATGACATACTGTTGATTTTCAATGTCATTTGGTGAAACAAATGAGACCACATCGCTTCTGTCCTCATACAACTTCACCAGCTCTTTAGGCAAATCCAGAGGCAATTCAGAACAGTGCTCCTAACTCTTAAAATCTGCAGTTGATTTCCTCCACCTTCCCTAAACTGGAGGCTCTCTCTTTCTAGTCATCTTCTAGCATTCTCTCCTCATGTATAACCCAAACCTCAGCCCTGGAGCCACTCCCACTGACTTCCCACTGTTGGGCTACAAAGAGACAATGCATTTATCCTTTCATAAATGCATAAATAAATGGATAAATCATTTAATCTCAGGACAGCATGTAATCATTCGGACGTCAATGCCAGTTGTCCCAAATAAATCCTAAAAAGATAAGATAAAGATTATGGGATAAGATGTAGAAACAGTTCATTCTGGGACATTGCAAAGTGCATCTGAGTGGTTACCCAGGACTGCATAATTGAATTAATGGCAGCAGTGCATTCAGCCACTCACTAAACCTCGAACAGAAAGGTTGATGTACATGTACATGCATGTATATAACAAAGGTTATGTACATGCTAATCCTGGGAAATTTCTGTTCTGGGACAAATACAGGCACAACTTGTCCAAGGACAAATGCAACGTCTGTTCCGAGTCTTAATGTAGTTGTCTTTTCTGCAGCTCCTTTCCCATTGAACTGCCTTCCTGTATCTTCCTCCTCCATATCAGTTCGGATCCCTCTAAAAGCATTTCGTCTCCCTTCCCCTAATTGTTTAATGTTTTTATCCCTCTATTATTATACATTCTTTCATTTTTGACATTCCAAAAGGTAAATCATTTGAGATGCAATTTCCAGCAAAGATGTTTCTTAAATAAAACTCTGCCCCACTTTACCTCTAAAATACCTGTGTAATTCCTCACAAGTAATACTGCAAACAACAACTATGACACCTATCACTTGAACTCACTTCTTTGGTTGAATCATCGTTTCAGAAATCTACTGAAATCAAATTAAAAGCACGGAGAGATCAAACCGTAGCTTTATACAGCAGTATTCAAATTTCATTATGTTCCTTGGAATAGATAATCTTGATGAGGGCTGGTGGAATCCTATCTGGATTTTTGTACTAAACTTCCTGATTTAGATCTGACTGTGATTCTGAATATATTTATGCAAGTTTATGCATGTGAGTTATCCCACTGGCTTTAATTTGCTTAACACTGGCCACCTCTACATGAGACACTGACTGCGCAGGTGTTATTGCACAGTCGTTTAGTACTGGCATACACAAATACTAAATGACCACGCAGTAACCGAAGTTACTGCACAGTAGCGTCCCCAAATGGCTTTTTGGTGATGCTGACTGTGCAGTAGCTTGTTAGTACTGTGCAGCAGCATCACATCATGCTTTGTGCCATGCAACGCTACTGCACAGTAGTAATGAGCTACTGCACAGTCAGCGCCTCATGTAGGCGCAGCCATTAAGCATGGAAGTAGCCCCTAAAACTACTCAGTACTTAAGCTTATAGAATCAGAGTCTAAAAATACACTGTCTAGTTTTTTTCAGTTCCTCAGCTCTAATGGAAATCAGACAATTTGACTAGGTGATGATATTCATTTGGGTTAGTATTTTTTAAAAACACTGCAAGTGCCAAAGCCCTTCTGGGTGTACAGGAAACCCTCGGTATTTGCGGGTTCAGCATTCAGTTTCAAATATTCACGAATGCCAAACCCGCATTTTAAAGACACTTTAAACACTTAGCAGAGCACCTCCAGAGCTCTGCGCTTGCTGCCGCCAGGTTCCCACCGCCATCGCCAGGCTCCTGCCGTTGCTGCCACACTCCCGCCATCACCGCCAGAGCCATGCCTGCCCCTTCCCCCCAGCTGCTGGGGGCACTGCAATCATGAACGCAGACTGCGTTCATGAATGCAGTGCCCTATTCGCAGATTTCGCCATTCATGGGGATCACAGCAACGTGTCCTCCGCGAATGGCGAGGGTCACCTGTAATGCCACTGATCTCAGTGGAATTACCCTACAGATATATTTGGATTCCAGCCTGGACCTAGTCCAATATGCACTGACAGAATCCCATTGATCAAGGCAAACCCTCCACATCTTCTAATGCCACCTCCTTCTACCCCAGACACCACTCAGACTCACCTCTACAGACAAAGTCTTTCCCAAAGCAAAAAATAAGGGGTGCATGTTAACATCAGGGTCCTTGCGGAAGCAGTTGGGTTTAGCATGGTGCTGAAAGTGCAGATGGTTCCACCAGCTAGCTGGCGCTCCCTGCAAAAATAGATGAGACAAGAGGATCCAAACTAACCATTAACTAACCAATTCTTCTATCATTTATTCATCCCTCCCCAAAAGTGGCATCATGTCCAAATCCTTGCCACATCTCGCAGGCAAGATGCCTTCCAAACACAAGGGCCTGTCCCTCTCATTAGTCCTGTTGAAAATCTGACAGTCATTCTCATCCCTGAACACTTACCTTCAAATGGCCAATCACAAATTTATGAACCACGTGGTTCCATTTAGATTTGCTGAAGACAGAAAGGTGCCCAAAATCATGCTGAAGCCACCCAGCCTGGGCCTGTGAAAGGCAAAAAGGGTAACTGATAAAACAGCCTTCATGTCCATCTACAACAGAGTGCATTCCTTGTACACTCGGTTCTAAAGAGTGCGCTCTCATTGTTCACTGTGCCCTCCAGTCAGGTGACAGCACCCCCACTCTTGATAGCAATGGAGTCTTTCCATTCTCCACAGGTGATCCCAAATACTGCTCTTTCATTGCGGTGCCAACAGATTGCACCCGGGACCTGGGGAAATTATAGAATATTAGGTAGCTGCTTTCACAGGGAAAATAAGCACCACGAAGAAGAGGTTATGGAACTAAGAAAGGGGGCATTTATTCTCTTCCAAATTGCTCTGAGCTCTGCAACAAAGTGTTCTTTGAAGAGATGACTGCTGCTGCCTCCTCTGAGTATCTGTAATTCCAAAAGGACCAGCTGGGTATGGAAGGGAAAGCTGAGGCTTTCACAGCTGCTGTGCCCTCTGCAGTAGTTCACTGCACGTTCCCGTGGGAATACAAGAAAGGTCTGACTAGCACAGCGTATCTCAGAAATCAGAGAAGTGCAATGTGGGAAGAAGACCAGGAGGAAATGAAGAGGTATCTGGCGGGCAATGGGAAGGAAGCTGTTCTAAATCCACTCAGTCAGAAAGTGCGTATCATCCTAAGGCTATTTTTCCTCCCTTCTTCCAGAACCTGGGAGGAACTAGGACTGGAATTCTTAAAAGCCCACCACATCCAGAGCTTCCAGCGCTTCTTACGACATCTCCAGCTGGGTACACAAGACTAAAATGGCTAGGAACGTCTCACAACCAGTTTCCTCACTTTAATTCCCACAAAGAGTCCTGCTAACAGAGGCAGGGAGTGGAGAAGTTGTCAGCTCCCCACATCCAGAACTCCTACACCCTTCTCAGCATCTCCTACTGGGAGAAAGCAAATATATAGTAGTTGCCAGATCCCTGTTCCCAGCTTTCCTGCAGCATTTAAGTATTTATCTTTGCCTGAATCACCTAGTAAAAGAGCATCCTGGATATCGACAAAAACACCCAGGGAGGACCAAATTGTTCCAGAGATTGTGGGAGGAGAGGTTTGTTCCCTATTTTGGGGGGCTTAGGCCATTTACCTGAACAGTCCCTAGCAGCAAGGCAGAGAAAAGGAATGGCACCAAGGATGACCCGAAGTACCAGAGGTTGAGCCAGGCAGCAATATCCATCAGCAAGATGTGAAAGAGATGCAGAGCAAAAAAGAGATAGTTGGGCTTCAGGAGTCCCAGCCTTTCAACAGTGGTACGCAGCTCACGAAAGTCCTCTACCAGCAGTTTCTGTGGAGACAACCAACAATACAACACTATCTGCTCTCAGTATGCAACACAGTACCCTCAAGAGTCCTGGGAGATGTTTAATTCCTCCACTTCTGGACAAGCCACTGCAGCAGTGGGGGAAAGCTGTGGTTCCCTCAGACACCAGGAGGAGCATGCAGCTGACATTGTCCTGAGGCTTCATGTGCTGCAGAGGGAGGCTGGCTGGGGCACAGGCAGGCAGCTCCCACAGCACAGGCAGGCAGCTCCCACACTGAGGCACCCTGTGCTCCAGCCAGCTGGGGAGCAGCATGTGAAAACAGGGGAGCAGGCAGTCCAGGGCTGGTTGGGATGCAGTGTCCCTTGAAATGGGAGAACAGGAAACCCTGGGCTCACTGCTCCCTTGTCTCCATATGCCTCAGTACGGGGGCTCCATTGTGGAGCCCTGTGCTGAGGCATATGGAGCCCCCATCTCAAGGCACACTGCGCCCCAGGCACCTACAGAGCCTCTGCACTGAGGCACGCAGAGACAGGGAAGCAGCCAACCCAAGGCTGCCTGCTCCCCCATCTCGAGGCATACTGCACCCTGGCCAGCCAAGCAGCTGGCTAGGGCACAGGGTGCCTCAGTGTGGGAGCTCCACAGTACTCTGCGTTTGTCCCAGCACATGGTCTTTGGTGTCTTTGTGCCACTTTTTTTGCAGGGTTGGTTTTTTTTACTTGGAAATAAATCCTGGTAGCAAATTTTGCTCCCGTGCTACGAATTAGTAGCAGGGCACATGGTTTAACATCCAACATGTGTGGTTTGTGGCACTGCAAAGAGGCTTACGGCACCACAAACTGCACATCTGGATCTGGCCTTAGGTGACACTCACTGTGACACCAGAGGGATTCCTTAGCTGCTATGATCTTCCCTCTCACTTCTGTGTCTCTCTATCCCAAAGGGAGCCTGTGGCTGACAAGTTCTGCACTCCATTCCTAATAGGGGACTGCTGTAACACAATATGGAATCCAAAATCTACAAGCCCTTCTCACCCGGACAGATGTTATGACACCGAGGGGAAGCCTCAGATGGGAAAGGTGACTCCAGCTGGGACATATGAAACACTTTACACCAGAATTTTACTCTAGTGTAAGCTATACTGGGTGCATCTACATGTGAAATTAATGTTGCTGAGTAAACTCTGGTGCTGTTTGCACTAGAGTTTATTGCTCCCAGTGCAGCATTTACACGTGAGCCTGGCACCACAGCACATTGAATTGAGGCAGTACAGCCTCAGTTGGCAGGGGCGAGCCTGCCAGCCCAGGGCTGCTCTGACCCGGCTCAGCGTGCTGCAGAGGGGCTGGCTGGAGCGCGAGGATGCTACAGTGCAGGGCTAGCTGGCAGGCAGCCCCCACACTGAAGCACCCTCATGCCCTAGCCAGCCCCATCAGCATCTACACATGCATTTTGGCAGAGTAAATAATTCCACCATTGGATAGTACTTGTATCTGGCAGTACTAACCTATAGCAGAGTCAATTAGTTTACTCTGGCCTAATAGCTCCACACATGTAGATGGAGATGTTTTACTGTGGAGCTAATTAGTCTACTCCACAGTAAATGTTTTGTGTAGATGTGCCCACTGATGTCTAAAACATACAGCTAACCAGCTCTCTGCAGGTAGCAGCTGGCGATATTCTACTAACAGGTGGTGGGAAGTCAGTAGTTACTTGTTTGCACTAAGCAAGCAACTACTCCAGGGTGAAACTGTCTCAAGCTCTGGATACACAATACATCACCATGATATACTGATTTTGAGTTTACCCTGGAGTAAGGTGACTCACATAGAGTAGGGCTATATTTGCTATGTCTGCTCCACAGTTTACACAGGTCTAAAGACATATTACACCAAATTAAATGTGTTGTGTCCCCACATCCTCCATGATCCACTGCCATTTATGATATATTGGGAGTTGTAACTGCCAGAAAATGAAAAAAATTAGCACAGTGCCCTTCTAGCCAGAAACCTATTCCAAAGTGCAGATTTTAGGACACTTACATTTTTGCTGGGCTCAAAGCTGGGCTGATCTGGTGCCAGTTCTCCAATCAATAGTGAATTCATGTATTTTCTCACCAGTGCCTTATCAAGGTGGAATGCTGTAAAGGGATCCTGGAGTTCACACAAAAGAAGAGAAGCAGGAAAACTACGTTGTGGTACACATTCACAAGCAAGGATGTTGTGTGAACACCCCCAGCTCAACAGGACTATCCAAGGGCTGAAACATACTGAACCTTTCTATTTGTCCTGCCCAAGATCTTACTGACTTCTTCAAAGCCAAAAAGCTTACCTTGAAGAGGAACACTATACCACGGCTGGCTTTATCAATGCACATGTCACCAATAGAACCTCATTCCCTGTTTCTGAATCTGAAGCCTTCCTTTTCCAGTCCAATCCCATACCAAATGTCTTTGACTCATGATTGTCCACTTCCTGTTTGCTTACATGTCCCTCCTTTAGTTTGTCTCCAATATTTCCTCTTCTGGCTCTATATCCTCCACCTTACAATATGCACTTACATGTCCTCTTCTCTATCTGGTTCTCTAACACCCTATTCCTTTTCCCCTTTACCTTTAAACTCCTTAAGCAAGGGTTTTATTCCCATTCACACTATTTTCCACACCTCCTCAGAGCAGGCAGCAAAGTTTAGGGTTCAGTTCCTCCTCTGCCCACTAGGGATCACTGTGGTTCTTGCAGAGAGGGTTGGCTACTCAGGATCTTCTGCAATCTCCCTGCAAATTATAAACTGGTATGGCTCAACTATAGTAGAAGGCATCAGATCAGTGGATGTTGCCTAAGTGATGTGCCACCAGCTGAAAGGGATTAAATTGAAGGAGATAGGGAGTTAGGGATAGGGGCAAATAAGAGGGCACAGACTGAATCTGGCTGAATTAGAAGTGCTTATCTAGGCAAGTAGTGCAGTAGGTGAGGGTCCTGCTTCAGACTATGTCACTCCCCCACTTAAGAAATTCCCATGTCTCCCCTAATTTCCCGGAATAGTCCTGCTTGCCTCCCCTGTTTTTCAGAGATCTGCTAACAAGCTTGCGTCTCCCTATAGCTACTTGACAGAATTCAGAAGAGGAAATCAGACTTTTTGTCACGGCGGGAAAGTGTCAATCATCAGGCATATCTGGGGACCTTCTGCCCTGTCTGGCAAATTATAGCCTGAACCAAGCAGCCAGGATTTACACAGCTGTGTGGTTACAGTCCACCTTGACTTAGTCTCCAGGCCCACAGGAGGATTTTTCAAGGTCTCCATCTTTGTCTCTTGCTGCATATTTCCTTTCCTTGGTGTCTCCCCTATCACCATGGTCTCAGGCTCCTCCAGTCTAACTTTGTGTTCTCTTCTCCAGGGAATCCCTGCCCCTGCACCCATTTCCTTTGTTTCCAGCACGTTGCTCAGTACTGCATATGCTGTCACAGCTTTGTGTGCTCCTAGACTGCACTGCCCCTTTAAATGGTCCTCAGCCAGGCAACATTTTTTCAAATGCTTGTATTTCATCAGGAAGGCAATACAGCACCATCTCTGCTCAGGCTTATCTGAACAGGGGAGGGAGAAAGCAGGAAGGGTATTTAGGTTTGCATTCTCCTATTGGAAGAGGGCAAAAAAGGGGGTGGTACAAAGGCAGACCAGGAGACGGTGGTACCACAAGCTTTGACCAATCATTACAATAGTGGTTGTAAAACCTAGCAGCAAACTCTTAAAGGGGAGTGTGGGTGGGGGGACTGATGGGGTTTTCTAATGCACCTTCCGGGAACCATAGTATTTCTAACAGCAAAGGCAGCAAGCTACACACTTAAAGGGGAAGTGCTCTTGCTTATTTTCCTTGTCCTTCTTTCTGCTTTTTAGGAGGCTGATTTGGGATTTCCAAAACCGATATTTCCCAGAAAGTTGAGATTCACTCCAGCTCGGCTGCTTAAAATGTCAGCAATTCAGTTTCAGCAAACCATATCTTCAGAGAATAATATACAGTATCATTTTTGTTATGTGCTCCCAGGATTAGGATTTAATGCCACATAAACCCAGCCCTGGGTACCAGTAGCCCCTTTAATAAACAGATTCCTGGTGCCTCATTGGTAACCGGGCTTTAAAAAGGTATGCCGTTTTTACAATCTTGCACAGGATGTGCCCTTATTGTCTTGGGCTGTCTGCTATAGTCATATTGTGCAGCACTGGGATTCATCAAGTCCCAAGCATTAATCCTCACCCTGTCAGTGTTTAATATTAAAGAGCACAGTAGTTTTAAATCAAACTGTAGTCTATCAAAATAAATTACAAGTACTTTCAGATACAGTATCTCCATGGGCAGAATTTTACAATTTGGAATCACATCTTCCTGATTTCAAAAATACTTCTCTTTCC